TAATTCAACCAATGGGTGACTCTAGATAATCCCCCCGTAATAGGCACTGTGATCCATTGCTCAGACCAATGTGTGCCGCAACTGCTTTCTGGATATATACGCCCACGCAAGGAACAGGCTAGTGCTATCAGTTGGGGCAGCTAAAACTACCGCATGGTTCCGATCCACCTAACACATATTCTTTAACGTCACATAGGTAGCCAAGCTATCTGACCCCAGAATATCGGAGGATGAAACTCCGAAATAGTGGCCAGATCATCTCTCAACATTATTTCAATAATTATATTTCGCAGTGGTTCATGTATAGCGGATGTCAAAACATCCTGTCGAGATTCTTCTTACATATTGTCTTTCATATCCCGTATCTACGATAAACTCTTTAACGTCTACTACCTCTCACATTTTCCTATGGTTAATGTACTGTTTGGGCTACACGTATGAATCAACCGATCCAGTCCGAAAATTATGTCAAATGCTGGCGCACCACATCAGTACTCTATATTCTGGGAGGTCCTGGCCTAGGACGCATCTCACCGAATCCGGCTGTTCAAATTCATAATGATGTAACATCGGTGCGCAGCAGCACCCAGGCACGGACCACCTATGGATCATATCCTACAAAAGGTTCACGTTTTCATTCCCGATCTTGTTCTTTTCTACCGACTTACCCATTTCGTGACTTTCTTTGCGACCATAAACCCGTTTGCGACGATATGCTCATCCATGTGGATCAAATGACCAATGTATCAGTCATACAATCCGGACATCAGCTTCAGCAATTACCTCTCTTCTACCCCGACCTCTGTACCCTCTTCATTGTTCTCACAATTTTTGTACTTTCTTCAGAATGCTATGGTCTTCAATCCATTCTTTCACTCTGATTTACAGACCAAATAAAACAAGTGCATCCGTTATATAAGCCAAACTCTCTATCGGTCTCTATCCAACACACTGGCCTTTGCTTCTGTACGAACGGACAGATTATTGCAGCTTAACATTTTCGTGGCATTGAGACCCGCAAACTCACCTCTTTAAGTCCATTCCCAGGAAGTATCACAAACTAGTTCTACGGTTACTCAGATTAATCATGTGACACCCTAGCTTCTCAGTTAAAACAGGACGACCGGTGCGAGACAGCACACAGGCATTGCCTAGCTCTACGTCGTTTTCTATGTAGGTTTTATGTCCTAATCTTCGCTCTTTTTATTTAACTTTGCACTGTCATCGATTATTGAACCATTGGCACTCAGTACTTTTCCCCACAATCACTGTTTACACTGCCGCAATGCCGGTCTGTTTCTTGGCTTCCCATCGAATGGTTGTTGGGTACTTTGTAATTAATGAAGATTGTATATTTACTTTATCCTTACAGACTTATCTAGTAAGTGTCCTGATGCCTGCTCTCTTTCGCTTTCCCTTTTTCCGAAGGACAAAATCGCCAATGGACTCCTACTTGACCCGTGGATTATCCGTCCAAACGCAACTTTATTCATGAATTTCGCAATGCCGTGGTGTAAATCGAGATTCCAATGCACCCGCACCTTTGGCCCATAATTATCGATGATTACGGGCCCCGAAGCTGTGCGAACTCAAGCCCAACTGGGACTAGAGCAATCGAAAACTCCCGAGGATGTCACCTCTTGGACCCACAAACAACCGAGGATCACGTGACGCAATCCCGGCTACTCGGGTGGCCCAATACGCATTGAAACAACCCCAGACTTATGCCCGTATGAATCAATGCTTACAGATTCCGCAATCTATCACTACCGCACTGTCCCTTCAATCAGACCACAAGAGTTGACGGCGTCACTAAGTCCTAGACGACCCGGATCCTACACCGATTTTGTGTAGATTGAGAATAACTAGAAGGGGATCTTAAGATACACGAAGCGCCCATAAAGTCGCTCGATATGAGAATAATCCATCGCATTTTCATCTACAAAATCATTTTCATGCTCCATGGCAGATATGATCAAAAATACCACGGATATTTAACATCGCCACAATCAGCGTTGCCCATCTAGACAACAACCGGTCAGAGAGAACGCAAGTAGCAGTGATAAGCCATCCAATTGTTCACATGTATCTAAATCCCTGCGAACACGAAAGGAAGCTTATTGCAATGAACCTAGTAAATGCTATCGATTACTCGGAACGAAGTGGCATCTCCGCATGTTATCTCTGTTATATGTCAGTAAGCAAACAAAGCTATTGCTGACTGAAAGTGATCGAAGTATTCTTCACACACACATTAAACCGATCAAACCAACTCGAGTATGCTTCTCGCACAATCAGGAATAAACATTAATAATAATAATATTATTATTATCATTATCACCATCACCATTATCATCATTATAGTCTAGCCGACACCAGGTCTCCTGTTGTCCGTCTCTCATATAGGACGGAACAGCTGATGGTTATCAAGTGGCCGTTTCAACTTCCAATGCATGATGAGGCCCCGTGGTATTCATTCAGGCCAACATGCATTTTTGTCATAATGCCTATTTGCGTCCCTTTGTGTTCGCACCTAGCCGAAATGTGTCAGTGAGCGTCCAGAAGTTCTGTTAGGAGGAGCACCTATTAAGGAGTGGATCAGTGAAGCCTACACAGACCGAAATCCAACCATTTTCAGAAATCAATTAGAATAATCACATTCGTTGATCAATACAATGTTCTCGGACAGTATAATATTATTGGTAAGTAAAAAATAAAAGAATAGAGAACGATCAAGGACACCAAAACGTCATTTGGCAAGAGCACAAAATGGTAGAAACTAAAATATCTGGGGCATTTGGCAAAATACCATTGAGAAAGTAGTAACGCTCCTTGGTTCCCAGCTTCCACAAAAGCAGTCTACACTTCCATCCGTCGTCAGTATCAGCAACTTCAGAGTAGAAGAGGTCTTCGTATCTTCTGAACAAAGATTCGAAGGTGAGGCCGGCATCCGGGCCATATTGCAACTCGCAAACAATGTTAACGACTGCATCCACAGAGGACTGCTGCTGTTCATTGCTTGGCCTTGCTTGTACCGCAAGACGCCGAAAGATACGCTTGATTAACTGTGGCTGACTTATTGGAGTTACTGATGAGTAGTAGTGAGGATTTTGATATAATCCAGCTAACCGGCATGGCAGTGGAAGATGAGCCGGGCTGTGTCATAGTCAACTGTCAATCACGCAGGTCCGTGGCTGTCACCGATGACGAAGTGGCACTACTTGCTGGCATCCTGAAGTCATGGGGGCGGAACCCGGCATGGGTTCGCTGGTAGGCGCATCACTGACGAGACCCAGAAGGTCGAAACATCGGCGTCTGGTGATCTTCCAGACTAGCCTAAGCCTACTGATTTGGAGTGACAATGATGAAGTAGCTGTTAATTGGAACTGCTGACGTTGATATTGAAATGTTGCGGTGAACTCCACTAAAAATAGCATTTTTGCTTCACTAATCGAAAATTATCCGTCGTCAAGTTGTCATGATCACCAAGGTCGCGCCGGGACTTTCTACTTGGCTGTTCAAAAACCTGACCGCTCTGATTGGCCGATAAAGAATACAAGGATGTAGGTACCAGTTTAATGGCCGCTAGACACGAGGCAATTACATGGCGCAGAATGTTGACAGTTGTGTTGTTGTGACCTTGAACATTCTCTGTTCCTTTCTAATATTTGCTTACCAGCAGTATTATTAAATTCTCTCCGAGAACATTTAGTGAACAACTACTGCGATTATTCTACTTGATTTCTGTAAAATAGTTGGAGTTTGGTCCGTGCATGGTTTATCGAGCTATTGGCAGTAAGTTCCGCAGACTGCGTAGAGATTCGAAGTTAAAAAGGACGGGAGCAGGCAGTGGTTCGGTTACTAACTATAAAAGTAATCAGCACAAAGAAGTGCACACCTCAGTCCTAATCTTGAAGAACAGATTTGCTTGGTTAAGTTGCACTTAGCGTACGGAGACTACTATCGCCTTGTTGTCGCAAACTGAATTACGATCAGAACCAGCTAATAGTTGTTCAAGCAGATGGGCAACCGAGACACAAAAAGGGGGGGGACAAAATCCGGCAGTGGAAAAACATTTGTTTGCCGGCGCCAAGACAGTAGGCACCCATAGAAATGACATATTATAAAGGAAAGTGGGTCAGATACGTGGCCACTAAGTATGCGCCCGGCCCGTGACCGAAAGGACAAGGCGTCTGCCTTGCAACCCGGACGCCACCGGTTCGAACGTGCGCAGGGAGCCGGGCGACACACGCAGTATACTTAGCTCACGCGTGACTGGTGGTGGTTGTGTGGCAGCGAAGCGCTGGTACGGTGCACCGGTGATGCCTTTTTTCTGATTAATATGCAAAAATGTATGCTAGCCTAGTTCACTGGGGATTGCGTATGCATAGTCTTACCTGTTGAAATTTTGGTCAGAATCGATAAAAACGCAGAGGATAAGACCCAATCGTGAACAGACTTCGAAAAAGTACATAAGCTAGGTTTGCTGCAGTCTCAAGAGTAAATTAGATAATGTAAAAAGGTAAGGGGAGGGATAGAAGGTGTACGCAGGAGATGGATCAAAAGCACAATAGGCAAAAGATCACGAGGTGACGGATGTACCTTCGTTGGAAAATTCCATAGGTGTCTCACAAGGCCTCACAATGTTGGCGCTTGTACTAACGAGTCTTGAAAGGCGGCGCAACACTTGGTTGTTAATGTGGGATTACATGCATAGGGTAGATTCAAACCTATTGTATATAATGAATGCGCTGTCAGTTTGTAAATGAACGATAGACGAGGAATAATCATTGTTGTAGTTTACAACCGGAGGTGGGAAAGGGACAACACCTGGAACGAAGTGCACGATTGCTCTAATCTCTAATTGTGCGTGACACAAATGGTTCGATCGTTCATATAAATAATCGTCGAAACTGAACTGATTGATGAACCCTGGGTGGAAATGACGTATGAAAGTGTGAAATGGCGACAAAAGATGGTACAACACTGATGAGACTAACCAGCTCGCTGGCCCAGGGATCCTTGGCTCTGGGTAGAAAACCATGGTATCCAGGTTTGCCCATGGCTGTAGTTGGTGTGAAGGAGGTTAGCGGTGATAAACGATAAGTCGCCGAAGAAGTGGACACACCGAAAGCGCCCCCGCATGCAGCAATGGCCGATGAATTACTCGAAGCGGGTGGGTAGAGGCACCAGACGAAAATGGTCGAACCGACAGAAGCGGCTAACATGCAAGTGGAGGTAGACGCCAGTGACACTGTGGCTGGTGCAACTGACGATGGCAAACCGGATTGCGATTGGATTGTATTCGCCACTGTGACTGGTGAGGGATTGATTTGGAGAGCGGATGTGGGTAAAAGAGAGGCCTGGTTGGAAGATTGATTTTGCAAATGTATTGATTGTTGTTGTTGTAGTAGTTGGAAAAGCCCGCTTTGTGCAGCCAAATAATTGGTACCAATGGCTGCCGTATTTGTGGAATTGACGGCGTTCACGATAGGTAGTGTGGTAGTTATCTTGGAACTAAGTGCGATTCGATCAATAGGTGCAGACAGGAAGGGACTCAACCAGGCCAAATGCCAACCCGTAGAATCCTTCAAGCTGAAAGAAAGCAGCGAAAGAGGTGGAGAAAGAATGAAGGATTGTGTGAGGAGTCCAAGAATGCAAGGTGACCAGGTAAATGTGGGTGACAAATGAGGATGAACTCAGTGGAGACCAAGAAAGGCAAATAGCAGTTCGCGTGACACAAGTGTTGGTTGATAGCCTAAACTCTGCAGTACAACTGGCATTGTCGCAACCATGTGATTGCGTAACGAATTATCGAAATTACCGTGGGGCGCGGTTGAATTTGAATCGTCGCTTTTACTACACATTTCCGGTGTGCATTCTTTTACAGTTACGAAAGGATGAGAATCTGAAGAAACTGGTTAACTGTAACGTTTATTTCACCCTACGTATGTTACACGGATTTCAGCTTATAGAGCCCACGTGTTGTGCAATAGAAGTTCCTTCTCCACCCTTGGAGTGCTTCCTTGCCTGCATGTTACAATTGCAGCTGGCACCATCTGATTTGAGAGTGGCTTTTTGAGAGGCCCTGATTGTCATACGCGCAACTCGTAGGGTAGAAAGTTGATCCAGCATCCAATACAGTCTAGATCAGAATTTAAACATAAGGCGATCAGTGGGTGGAGCTTGGCCCCGTAAGTCCCCGAGCGCTATCGTTTAACAAAAACGATCCGTGAAATTGTTGAATCGAAGCAACGTTTCACCGCACACAAAAGACAGTTCACAACGATACGTGCGTTGTGAAATTAACTCTGATGTATAATCAGAGTAACCATATCTAATAGCTTAGTGCTTCTAAGGCACCTCTTAGACTGAGCAAGCATTGATAGCAGCTGTCTCAAAGACAGTGAGATGTACACCAAATATACTCTCATAAGTTGGTTGATGTGGGGATAACTCTCGATCACTCGGGATCACGTAACTGACATAGAAGTGCAATTGTTGAAATTTAAACCAAAACTAAACGGGCGGTCGCTGCAACGCGAAGAGACCCATAGCAGGCAGTGAAAAATGGATACTGAGAAGGAATGAAATAGAGTAACTGGAAATGTGTGGCGAAAGCAGCGATGGGGAGAATTGCGCTTACGAAAATATTCCAACGTAATCTTTGTAGACCACGGCCATTAGATTTTGATGACAAGTGATGAGAGTGACCGGATTTGCGCGGAACGCAGGAACAACATAAGCATGTTCCGAGTCAACGGTTTGAGTCATCGACGGATGAGCCTCATGCGAGGTAACGGGAGTTGCGAACAAATCTGTGCTGCAAATGTGAAGCAGAGAAAACGACAATGAGATGCATGGACTAAACAGACCAACGGGCAAATCCAAACAAAAAGAAAAGTGGCTTAAAATAACGGTTTTTATTCGCTTAGTGAGCATGTGATAAGGCTATCCAGAACTCAGATAGTGTGGTGGATAGTAAAACAAAACCACAAAGTTTGGGCGTGTTTGATCGCCGGTGTATGCGGAGTATTGCTCACATACGGTGGGAAGACCGAGTAAGCAATGCTGGGGTCCGCCAGATGGTTTTCGGCAATAAGCTTTCTGATTCCTCACTCGAGTGCTTACTGAGTCTTAATCCCTTACGTTCGTTAGGCCATGTCCTCCATATACCCGTTGACCGAGTTCCTCGAAGTACATTATACGCAGTCGCTGTACAAAGTTAGGCGCAACCGCAAAGTGGCCAGCCGATGATGCAGCATAAAGACACGAGGAAATTGACTGGTAGAACTGGTCACGATGGTGCATTCCGTCTTCGTAAATGGTGGTACCGGAATGGTCCACACCAATAGTTGGGGACCCTACCAAACGTGGCACAGTCGCGCGAGCAGTGGCGTTTCTTGCATCTAGCTACTAACTTTAATTCCATACCGATTAGTTTAAGGCATTTCTGGATTCCGTTTTCCTTGTATTCTAGTTGCGTTCAAGATTTTCTTACCGTAATTGTTTACTGGCATTCTAGCGACGTGAGTCGTCGCAACCGTATCCAACACACTTCTGTGCCTTGATCATAGTTATTAAAGTGAACTGACCAAATCATAACTGAGGCACCTTGCCCGATCGAGTGACAGGTTGGGATCGGGCCCATAGTCACGCATATTTGTTGAATGATGTCGTAGATGTATACCCAACAATAAATGCTTACGAAAAACACTAGCCTCAACAGTAGTCACTTGGAATAGGAATAAGGCATGAGTCGATTGAATCAAACCGACATTGGCATCGATTTACTTAGTTTAACCTCATAAACACCATGTGGAAAAGTCCAACAGAATATGACAATGCGACGCTAGTGCTTAGACCCTTTAATTCTCTTCGTCCGGAAAATGACACGTTAAGGGTTTAAGGGCAGCAGAAGGGTTGCGATCAATAGTAGCAGGATAGACCTTAGAATGTATATGAAGCAGTGCACGCATATCCACGATATCCAAGGTGCCTTAGATTTAGTGAATCAGTGTTCTAGTGGACTGTCTACTAGGGAAAGGTATGCCCGATAAATATGCAAATACTACCAGCGCTTTACGCGCGTAGCTCAGTCAGAGTGAGAGCATACGGTAAGCTGTCGCCGCCCTTCAATATCTCCAGCGGTGTGAGACAAGGATGCCCGCTGTTACCTTTCCTCTTCAACTTTGCTATTGACAAACGCTTGTGGAGCTGCTCCCGGCTGTGCGACTTTTAAACTTGAACTATGCTGAGGACAATGCCCTAAACGTGTCAAGCTGCACCGGACAGATTAGCGCTGGCTGTCAGACGTTTCGGGCTTGACTTTGCATCCTCAAGGGGCAAAGCTTTTCTCCAACATTGGCAGAGACCGCCTCCTGCGCTGACCCGTACCAAGGGTCAGCTAGAAGTCGTCCAGAAATTAAGCACCCAGGCAATTCTATTGCAGCCTGTGGAATGGAAAAGGTCACGAAGCGTATAGCAAAAGACAGTTTACTCATCCTGCTACCGCTGTGGTAGTACCTATCGCAAGGCTAACCTCTGTTTGTCTCGTCGGCATTCTCACATGTAAAAACTGTGGAAAAATTGGACAGTTTGCTCGCTGTTGCCGATTCCAACACATCGTACTCGTTGAACAGGATCCCGTCCCCGAGCACAACGTAGCCGATTCAGCTGAGCAACATGTTTACTCAGTCATTGCTGATGTCAACAACTTGGGAAATGTGATGATATCTGTTGTTGAGCCGAAAATTCCCTTTGGAGATAATCGAGCTGTCTTATTCCCTATGAATGAATGTGTTATTCCACTAGAAGTCGAACTGGATTCCGCTTCTCTTGTTATTATTGTGCCCTCCAGTTTCTACAAACGTTACTTACCTGAATACCCTTTACAGCCGATTGCTCACACATTCGGGATTTACAGTGGCAATAATTTAACCATTATTGGTTTTCTCATCGTACCTCTCCGGATTCGCCTAGTATTTGTGGATGTCGCGGTATACGTTTCATCAGATGACAAGCGGCCTCTGCTTGGGAAGAACGCAATGGTTGCGTTAAATGTAGTGCCATCTGGTTGTATGACTGTTTCCTTCATTGGAGTAACATACTGGCAAGA